TTAGACTTCTGCTCATCAAGGCTGCATTTATTTGACCAAAAGTACAGTGGAAATAGTAATATTACAATTTAAAATAACTGTATTCTATTATAATCAATTAAAAATTTACCCCTGTGAAGGCAAATCTGAACTTTCAGCAGTCTTCAGTGTCACATGATCCTTCACAAATCGTTCTAATATGCTGATTTAATGTTCAAACATTTCTTGGTATTATCAGTGTTATTTTGCTTAATGTTTTTGGAAGGTGTGGACACATTTTCAGGATTCTTTGAACAACATTTATTTGAAATAGAAATCTTTTGCAACATAATTGTCTTTATTTGTATTTATTTTATTTTGATCAATGTAATGCATCCTTTAAAAAACATTTGTGCAACTAATTTATATAATTATTTAATTTACACAATTTTATTGTTTATGACCAGATTTTTTAAATTGAAAATCATGTTTTGTTTACGAATTTATATTCATAGGAAGGAATTAATATCACAGGGTGTCATTGTGGTATTTGTACTCATGAAAGTCTCTGTATTCACAGAAGTTGGACCTGAATTTCAGCTGAACAGCTAACGATGAAGAAAGAAATAGCAGCGGTGGTATTTTTCCTGAAGCGGTTGATAAAGAAGAACGAGAAGTTGGATGCGGAAAAGGTGGACCTGTTTGTGGTGCGTTTAACGGTAGCATTGCAGGAGAAGTACAAGGGTCACTGGTATCCAGACAACCCCAGCAAGGGCCAAGCATTCAGGTACAGCACTTATGATAAGCAGTACTGTTCATTGACATCCTAATGACAAAGATCTCATGTTCCTTAGATTCACAGATAGTCAGAACAGATGTGTCATGTTAAAATGAGCTATAAATGTATCCTGTGCAGGTGCATCAGAGTGAACCGCTTTCATAAAGAGGATGCTGAATTGCTCCGAGCTTGTGCTGAGAGTGGAGTGCAGTACAAGGACCTCGGTCTGCCTAAGGAGCTCACGCTGTGGGTCGACCCTGGAGAGGTGTGCTGTAGGTGAGTTGATGAAATAAAGCAGATTTATTTAGAAGTGCTCTGCTGGTTTGTTTTTTGACATCTTTCCTTCTGAATTGGCTACAGGTATGGCGAGAGGAATCATGGTTTCACTGTAGCCACCTTCTCAAGTGATGATGATGATGATGATAAAGAGGATGTGACAAAGAAAGTGACGAGCGCTGTGGAGAGGGTCACGTCAGATTACCACTCCGGATCCTCCTCGGACGAGGACACCAGCTGTAGAGAGGCCCAGTACACCCCACCTCTCCACAACCACACTCCATATCAGGTACAAAATGTCTTAAATATGTTTGTATTGCCTAAATTGCCACAGTTACACTACTGTTCAAAAGTTGCTACTATTTTTGTTTTTGAAAGTCTCTTCTACTCACCAAGTGACATTAATTTGATCAAAAATACAGTAAAAAACAGTAACATTGTAAAATATTATAATTTAAAATAACAGTCCCTGCTTATTAAAAATTCATTTCTTAAAAGAATTCTTACTGACCTCATACTTTGAACAATAGTGTAGGTATGTTGACTAAAACACAATATTAACAATATTTATAAGGACTCCTTATAATGTTAATAGGCAACCGTTTTATTCAGAAGTGTCTGATTAGATGTTTTTAAAGAGGCTTCAGCTGGGAAAATTTAGATTTGATTTATTTCTATCAAATATTTAACAGAAAAATCTTCTGTCTGTTTTTAAAGTTGTAAGAAATTTATAATTAATGGCCCCTACCACACAGTAATTCTGGGAAATTACCGTTACATTACCAGCATGACAGCATGTAAATATACAAATGTGCTGTTCACACAAGCAACAGCGTTCCTTCTTTTTTCCGTAAGATACCATTCACACATCAGTACCCACACTCATTCACAATCTCTGATGTCAGTCACCGGAAATTACCTGTAAAAGATGCACTGTCTTCACCCACCTGAATAAGGAAATGTGCTTTAGTTTCACTATCTGTCCAATCTGATAACATTTTTTGAAACTTCTAAGTAACAGGCATAAGGATGATTATACAGAATGTGTTTTTGCACTAGACACATTATAGATACTAACAGTACCACAGTTACTTTATTGCACAGCTGCGGTGCTGGTGAATGGGGGGAAAAAATGCAGGTCTTGAGTGCGAGACATGGAGCAATGGTTGGACGTTTGTCTAGCGCATGTTTAGATGGGAAAAATAATTAAAAGCAGCAGTGCTGCTGAATTACTGATTTACTGGTATTGTTGAAGAGGTCCTGTTTGCACATGGTCTCTTAACGGTAATTTACCAAAAAAACAAGACTGTAAAAAGGCGCTTTTTTTTCTTGAAGAAAAGGTGCAACACTTGCTAAAACTTTATTGTTCAAAAACAAGTAACATTTTAGGCCATCCTCAAAGCCTTTATCAGACATGTTAGTTACAAACCTTACTTGTTCTTGAACAAAGTTTAAGTGAGTGTTGCACCTTTGCTTTGATTTTTGGTTGCATCTCCTCTTCAGCTGGTTGAGCACACTTTCTTTAACTTTTATGTGAATATAAGTTTTTATGCAATGAGTATAATGGATATGGCATGAAAAATAATATTTTGAGTGTACATTTATTGAAAGTGGAGCTATGAATTGTAGACTATTTTTAAAGGGTATTTTAGCTAAGTTACTTTTATCAGTAAAATATATTGCCTTTTTAAGCATTGTTTCTAACTATTTCTGCTGTCATCTTTTTTATTAATACAGCTTGTATATGCCAGTGCCCCAGTATGGCATTCTGTACCAAGGAAGAAGTTCGGCCCGGGGAAAGGGCATTACCTTCAGCGGCCACACTACATGATCCGCCCCCCTTGCAGACCCAGCCATTCCTTTAAACCACACAGCTGGGTCCAGCAGGGGTACCGCAGCAAGCACGGCTACTGGGGCAGCACTTCAAACCTAGTACACCAGCTTCAGTGACCACTGTTACTACAGCATGAAAGTTTGTTGATGTCAATGTGAGGGGTTTTCCATTGGAAAGTGTTTTTTGAAATTACCACTAAGATGACTGACCAAATTAAAAAAAAAATGTATTTTTGTAGTTCTGTCACTGTTTTTTGAATTTGTGATTGATCAATTAAAAAAAAAAAAGATAACAGTAACTGTTTGCACTTTAGAGTATTTGTAATAGAACATGTATAAGGTAAACTTCGTACATATTGGATTAGTAATATTTAAAGTATTTAAATGTTTATGGTAATGGAAATGTGCTGTATTTATGTTACATGGGATCATTTGATAACACTTTACATCATGTTTTTGTCATAGTTTCAGTGACCAAATGTTTTATTTATTCACAGTAAAGTATTATGTATTGCATAGACCACTTAAATTATGGATAACATTAAAAAACATTTTCAAGAATATGAAATTTTTTATTATTTGAGGGTACTGCTGTATTTGTAGTTTTGTTAGAAAAACACTAGGTGGCAGTACGACATAATATTTCACTCCTTTTCTTTATAACTGCGCACTTTAAATTAGGGCACAGCCAACAAGCTCTTAGTGTGCCATACTTTGACTTGTTTTCTCAATAGTATAGAACTGCAGTGTTCTTTTTATAGTACAGTTTTATTTAGCTCATTCTCAAGCAGTTACTTTGTGGTATATGGAAGTTTTACATGGACACAGAAGTAGTACAGATGTGTTTCTTTACGAGTCGGTTCAACAAGTTCACTATGCTTGCCACACCTCCCTCTCAGCAGAGCAAACTGTTCACAAACTCTGACCAAGTTTAAGAGGACATGACTACAATTCATGGCTATCAACCCCACTATTACAGACTCGAGAGGAATTGCCTAACAAATTCACTTCGCTTTTATACACACCCTTGTCTGTTATACATTACTATAGTGTGCATCCAATATGCGCCATGTGCTTGGATAACAGGTTGCTGTTAGTGCACTGTTCAACAGTATTTGTGTTTCATTACAATTATATTACATATTGCACACCACTTTCAAGTTTTTTTTCTAGCGCACAAACCCACTTTCAGGAATTACAAAATGAATTAATTGGTACTTGTGCTGTTACAGTTGCACAATTCTAATCAAATCTAGGCAACTTCATGGTAGATTAATAACAATTATGGGTGATCATATGTTGCTATGTAATAGGCGGAATTTGATATACATTATAAATATAAATGTCAATTAATTTATTAAACTGATGTATTTGACCTAAATGGACAGCATGCTGTTGTTATATGATTAAGCTTGCAAAAACAGATGCACATAATACAAATAATAAAATCTTGACAGTCAAGTAAATAAAACCGACATATACTCCACATACTTTTCCCAAAGTAGTGCTACCCGATTCGGGCATGATTCACACATGAATCATTCTTTTGAGTCGGATCTTTTCTATGAACTAGTCAAATGAATCAGCAAATCAGTCAAATGAATCGCGAATCAGTTCGAATGAGTCTGATAGCTCCCTCAGGCACCGAATCGTTCGGAGCGCGTTTTCAGTGAGTAAAACATGGGATACTTCGAACACAAACAACAAAAACAGCGATTTAATTACATTAAATTGAAACCAAACCTGCAAATGCATCCTATCGTTTGCTAACGACGAAGATCTGTTTTAAGCTCAACACCTGCATTTGCTGCTAGCAAACGACTCTGTTCTGCACTTCGTATCAATAGACAATCAAAAAAGCGCTCAAAGTACTGACGAAGGCCTAGAAACGCCCCTGCTTGTAATATACAAATAAAACATGAGAAATAAAATCGGAACTGACGTCAATTCACGAGGACGAATGATGTGGCAAAAAGCACAGGGCGATTCGTAAAGAACTAGTACCGTCAGCCTTTTCGCACAAACTTATCTTATTAACTTCTCCCATATCCAAATATACTCATAACACATTCGCGATATATTTATGTGTATTTTGCATCTAAGTAGTAAAATGTTGTTGTCAAACAAACTAAAATCCCTCTTCCTCACAGGACACGTATCCCTCCGCCTCCATTGAGGTCTACGTCTCTTTCCGGTGCGTTTCTCCATCGGACGGGTTCCGCCGCCATTGCAGGTTTCTAGAGTTCATCTCAGCGGCGGTTGACATTCTGGGGTTGAAACGCCTCATTTACATTCAGCTGGCGACTAGAGTAACCTAACACATTCCCAGTTCATCTGCCCCCCCAAAAACACAAGACGACCTCCATTCATTCCCGGCTCTGGAGTTGTTTAGATTAGGCAGAAATAACTGCAAGAATTAGAGAGGAAAGCGAAGAGGAACCACCATCATCATGGCTCAAATCCTGCCCATCAGATTCCAGGAGCACCTGCAGGTAAGGACTTTAAAACATCTTCAAATGAGGGGCTCGTTTATTTTATTATGAGTTTACAGTGAAAACGTCAGTGTGTTTTTAAATAAGCAATTGTAGTAACCCATCCCCCGGTGAATATGACCTTCCATCCGCAGCAGTACGTTAGTAGTAGCGGGGGAGTTAGCTTAGCTAACGTTACTGTCGGTGTTAACCAGCTGAATAATAAATACTCTGGTTGTGTCACAAATAAAGCCCAGTGAGTTGCCTTCCCAGACAGCATTTTTGAGCGTAATTCTTCAATTATTTAGAGGGTTGGTTAAGTTATGTAAATATGTATGGATGTAAATGCAGTGTATTGAAACGATAATGTAGCTTGAAAAAGATTGATGGCTGGAAAATTAAATTGATTGTTTCTAGAATATATTGAGATTTGCATTCACATGGCTTATAAAAACTATTCAGTTGTATTTGCCTCTAGTTGTGTCTTTATATAAAAAAAACACTTGCAGAGGAAAACTTAAATAAATAGACTATTTCTTGAAATGAATCACTGTACAGAAGGGATTCAGTCTTGTTTTATGTCCTATTCCCTGTCCTATTAAATTAAGACAGATTTGTGATTGAGGTGTCGAGATTACCTGCTTCAGGTAGCAGGTGTAAAATGCCCCACCTATAGACCTGTGTATGGTCCCATGATGCCTCTGCATTTTTTTATTATTATTATTTGCACTGAACTCATACTTTGTTTGCTGTCACTTCTTCTTTGTCTATATCAGTTGAGGCTCTCATTCATCTTAAAGGCCTTTAGGACTTGGTGTAACTCATTTTATTCAACTGTTATACATGTAATGCATTTTCTGTTTAAAGTAATCATAGGTGTTTTGAGTGTATTTTATTATTGTTGTGTGTGTGTGTGTATTGTTGCTTCTGTGTCCTTGACACAGGTCATATTATGACAAACAGTCTTCGTGTTGGATCAATTCGCTATTGTTGAGCATCATATTTACACGGTGCCAGGCCTGTAATGGTCTGTGTTTGTCATTTGTAATAGGTTTGCGTAGTAAGTGACCACATGTCCACATCACAGCTAATTTTGGTCAACCCCCCTCTGATTTAAACACATTTAGATGTCAAAACCCCCCTGATTTAAACACAATTGTCAATACAATGTTGCAAACTTTACTATGTTATTCGCTCATTATTTCAATACAATTATAGTATCAAATGGTACCAAACAGGACTTTGATTTCAGGCTGTTTGATTGACAATTTTCTTGCAAGTTATATTAAGTAAGCCAATCCGTGTTGGTGTTATTGTTACATAAAACTATTAAATAGTTTCTGTTGATTGATATAAAGCTGAAATAAAAAAAATCAACCTAAAACTTAATATCTTAAAACAAAAATCAGAAATACTGCCTGTTTTAAAATTACTAAGACTGTAACTGAAATAAAATAAAGTATAGCCAAATAGAAATATTAAAAACAACAGCACATTAAAAATAGCTAAAATTTTAAATGAAAAAAAGCTAATTCAAAATAGTAATAAATACTATAATAATCTATAAATAGTCTAAATACTAAAATAACATTGCAGCCAAATTAGATTAGAGTTTTTTTCTAGACTGAGAAAGTGTGCAGACTGTCTATGTATGGACATCTTGGTGTATGTCTTTTTGAACTAAACGTTCAGGGTTACAATATATTATTGTGTGTGGAAATGAATTATGTGTGTTTTTAGTTCAGGCATTTCAAATGTACTTGTATATCCTGTCCAAGTTTGTCAGATTTTGGGAAACTGATTCTAGAGTAGTGCAAAAGAGCATAATGGACCAAAAAGAGCCTGAAGCCCTCTGGTGGTATTTTAACTTAATGAAATGCAAATGTAGCTCAGCACTTTTCTAGTGAAGTGTCAGCTAATGGTCAGGGTACAATAGGAGTCAGTGGCATAATGCTGTAAATGGCACAAGGAAGACAGTATCATTAAGACAAGACCTGCTCATGTTGTCTGATTCACATTGTAGTGCTGCTTTATTGTGGTTTACTGAAACCTCTATGGCAAAATGAATAGTATAACGATAGGTATGTTCATAAAACTGGTGTCTAACCACCATAACTGACTCCTGTTTCCATATACATCATTTATAGTTTATTGCATTATACCTTACTAGATGATTTTAGGTATACAGGTGCAGCAGGCCTATATGTAAGATGTTCAGTTATCAGTTTGCAGTTGCCTTAAGCAATGCAAGCTGTAAAAACCAAGTAATGGCTGTTTTAATCTAATACAATGTATCATGATTCGATGCTGGCTAAACATTAGTTATTCATATTTAGTGCAGCAAGTTAGTTGTTTCTAATAACCTGTAGTGCATTGATTTCAATGCAAATCACTTAAGTAAATTACTCTTTGGTTTTAAGAGTAACATAAGCATGATACAGGGGCAAGTCAGATGATCTGCAGATGGCTTTCGTGTGTTTTATGTGGTGCTGTTTAATACGTTACCTTGAAGCCCTGCGAATGCATTTGATCTTTGAACTCTACCCTGCTGATCACACATGACTCTCGTGTGAATGGAGATCCATTATCCATTTTGAACTCCTCAGCAATGAATGAACTCTGATTCCGAGAGGATTCTGTTGGTGTTCATTTCTCCTTTTCCCTTTCCCGCTCTGCTGTCCATGGTGAACCTGCTAGGCTGGTCACATGTCACCTATGGTCATATGGTCACAGCTTTTAACGTGTTGATTTAGCTTTCTACACAATGGGTCCCAGCTTCCTGTTATGGAGGACAGTGGCAGTGCGTTGCAAGCCTCAGCATATTGTGTATCCTTCCCTGAGCCTTCTGCAATCAGGGTTTTGTGCTGAGCAAGGTGCCATTTTTCCCTGGACGGAGAAGGAAAAGGGTTAAACGAGCACAGGAGGTTGGAGAAAAGAATGTGCTGACAGCTTTAAAAAGTCATGATTTTAAACGATGGGCTGATTCTGAATTTATCTGCTCAGACTCAGAGAAGCACTTGATGCTTCAAGTATTAAACGTTTCTCGCACTCGTCCAGATTTGTGAAAGCAAAGCTCGCCCATAGAAATGTGCTAAATGCATGAACACTTCAAAAGCAGTGTAGGTCAGCATAACGGAACAACCACTTGAGTTAACCCGGTAAAGTGTCTCTGGCAGTTAAGGGTTAATGTGCAATGCCACACTGGTGATAGTCAGAGAAAGTGCCAGCAGGGGGGCAAGTTTAATATGCTCTGATGGTAGCATGTTATGTGAGTGTTTGTGAGTTAGTATGCTAAGAATGCTGCCAATACATTTCTACATGCACATGATCCTGCCTCTAAAAAGTATGTTAGGTATGTTTTTTTATCAAAAATAGTCAAAACTGTAATATTTTGACACATTATTACAATTTAAATCTGAAACAGTTTTCTTTTTTAATATTTTAAAACATATTTTATTCCTGTTGTGGCAGAACTGAATTTTCACTTGTCTTCAGAGTCACATAATCCTTCAGAAATCATTCTAATATGCTGATTTGCTGCTCTTATTTGCTTTCTTATTATCAGTGTTGAAAATGGTTGTGCTACTTAATATCTCTATGATACATTTTTTTTTCAGGATTGTATTTTAATGAACAAAAATTCTAAAGATAAGCATTATTTGAACTAAAAAACTTTTGTACTGTCACGTTTGATCAATTTAATGCATCTTCTGAATGAAAGTAATCATTCAGTGCATTAGTTGTAAAAATAACTTACTAGTTAGTTAGTGTATAAATGAATGAATTACATGACTCACTCATACTCTGCATCTGAATCTTTTGTTTGAATAAATCTCAATGTGTACATAGAAAAGCACTGTTAGGAGGTTTCATGATTCAGCTAACGGCTGTCTTTTCTTTCTTCATCTGTTGTTTATGCCATCATCTCTTGTATCTGGCTTGTAGTTTGCTAACTTACTGGTGAAGATCTTTATCTAACCACTCTAAAATAAACAGTCTAAAATGGGAAGTCAAGTACACCTGCAGACAGGGGAGAGATTGTCAACACTTGATCTGCTTGATAATTTCAGTTTTTTTTTGCTACAGTGTGTATTTGTGTGAATTGGACAAGATCCAAGATTAATATTTGAAAGAATAATACTATTATTGACCTGTAGTGTATATCAGGTCTTGCACAAGTCTAAATATATATATATATATATATATATATACTTACTAATAGTCTGTAGTCAGAATGTTCATCTTGCCTGAATTATTTCTGGTACAAAAGAACAGCTTTCCTTGTACCAGCTAGAAATGATTGAATTTTTTGTTAAAATTCTTTGCCAGGATAAAATCAATATCACACCCTCCTTTGCACCGACCAGAGATGTCCACAAAAATCCAGGAAGGACCTGGCTATTTTCGAGTAGATGTTTCTCTAGCCACACAGCATGTTCTTATAGGATGGACAGTGAGCTACCTAGTGGGAAACAGGGTTAGTTTCTGGGCATGTCTGAGACGACACTGAAGCAAGCAGCAGTTACATGCTGTGGATGAATCACGCTTGGCCTAAGGCTGATGCTACGGCAGCGAGAGCTCTGTCCCTTACGTTTGCTTCAGTGTTTCTTGTTACGTTTTGAGAGCTTACAAGGGCAGGGTTTCCCATCAGCCAATCGGAACAGCCTGTTCAGTAGTGATGTCATCATGTGTGATGTCATCTATGAGATGCAGTAATAAAGGTCACAGAAATGTGCGTGAGCAGGTTACTGTTCTCAGTAGCAATGTTTTTTTTTTTTTTTTTTTCAAATTTTGTTCTTATTTATATTGTTATTTGTTTTCTGATTTCTTATTTTATATTTCTGTGAATTATCTTGTCTGTTTATCTCTTATCTCCTTTTTAAATAGATGTATTTGTTTATATACCTAGTTTTAACTAATTTTACTGGGTTCCTGCCATGAAAATAGCTTAATTTAATAATAAATTGTTATTCTGTTTCAAGGGAAATGCGGAATCAGTCCTTTTTCTATTTTTTTTTTTT